TTTCCTCCGGCCAGCTTTCCAGCCACTCTTCCCCAGGTCTGTAGCATTGCCTGGGGTTGTTGTGACCAAAATGTAGGACCTGGCACTTGGCCTTATTAAACCTCATCCCATTGGCCTTGGCCCATTGATCCAGTCTGTATGTCTGGTTTTGAGTTGTGTTGTACTTTGGGGACTTCTTTTGAATAAGTTGTACTCAATGGAATAAATAATATGAATCTTACGTAGCTGTATTCTACCTGAAGCTTGCTTTGTGCTCTCTAGCCTTGAGTTATACACTAAAAATAATAAATCAAATAATCTTTCTGTTGGCAGAGTGAAGGTACACTTCTAGCAACTGGGTCTTACGACGGCTTTGCAAGGATATGGACTAAAGATGGTAAGTGAAATACTTTTACTTTCCAGTATATTTTCCTGTTTTGTGGCTCACAGCATAGTTTTTTATTTTTTTTTAATGTATTCATATCAATATAAATTTTCAGGTAATCTTGCCAGCACCTTAGGGCAACATAAAGGTCCTATATTTGCGTTAAAATGGAACAAGAAAGGAAACTTCATTTTAAGTGCAGGAGTGGACAAGGTGAGAGAATCTTTGGTAAAATTAAAATTCTTTCCTTCACCGTTATAATCTAATTGTAAGATAATAGCAAAGCTATAGAAAGTGAGTAAATTAAAGGCGTGGGACGTAGATGTGTACTTACAAAGAACTTGTTGTGCTCGCTTTGTTTCCTTGTGTTTTATAGTTGTTTATCGAGATATTTTAATTTATGGGATTTCAGTGTCCCTGGATCTCTTCCCAATTAGGTTAGGGTGGATTGGGAAGCGCGTGCATTGAACGCAGGAACATTAAACCTTTGTAAAACCAAATCATCTAAAATTTAGTGAAGCACTTTACGCAAAGCCTCAGCAAAATAATCATACAGGAGGAGTAGGTGGGGTCTGATTTGGGTATCGGTCGAGCCTGAGAATAATTGATTAAAAAGGTTAGAGCTGGAACCTAAGGAAAGTCAATGTGTCTGACTGAGGAGGTGCCAGTGGTGTACAGCCATGAAGTTCGTTGTTTGTTTTATTTCCCATCTCTAAACAAACTTAAAGGCACACAAGGTCTTCAAATTCAAAGGTGTTGTTAGTGTGAGAGATGTTGTGAGTGGTAGGAAGGGCACACAGTTCTGAGGAATAAGCTGAAGACGAGTTCAAGGGATAGAATAGACTATTCAAAGAGTAAGAAGAGTTAAACTTTCCTCTGTAACTGATTCAAGGTGCAGAAATAAACACAGTTATTCTCTTAGTGAGGCCAGAAAACTGCAGGCTCAGTAAAGCCACAAGCCCACAGTGCTTAAAACTGGCAGTGCCACTGGAAAGGAATAGATTTTCTTCTTAATTTTATATTTTTCCTGCACGCGTTTAACCTGGTTTGCTTTAGTGCCCACCTTTACAAATGCATGTGCTAGCACAAAGGAAGGAAAAGTAAATATCTCAAAGCACAGAAAGGATGGGTTTCTTCTTTTGGCAGCTGTAATGGCTTATGCCAGGTTTAAATCTTTGGTGGAGATACAGCTTTAATTTGCAGAAAAAAATATTCTGGAGGAGATAGAAGCCTCGTCGTTTCAGTCAATAAAACTCCTTGGATAAAGCAGCAGAGATTATGCTTTGAAAAATACTCTGCATTAGGTTGGCTCAACCTTACACTTCTTTGCCCATAAATAATTTGTGTGGTCAGTTCATGCTTCCACCAAATTCTGTGTCAGAATTTTCAATGATCATCAAGGCAGGTCAGGAACATTGGCACAGAATATAGTGATTATAAAATACTAATTTTGTCATGTAAGATTTCTTTCATCAGGAAGATATCAAAAGTTTTGGCAGAGAAGAACTCAGAACAAAATTACACCCTTAAATCAAATCTTTCAGATTCTTAACTCTGAGACTTCTTGTTGATACAAAGATCTCCTTAGGGACAACTGAGTGTTTGAAATTACAATTTGAGGATACAAGTATTTGAAGTTAAAACAGGTGTGTGGAGTAGATTATGAGACTATAAGTAGGACTAGGGAGAGAAATCTATTTAATCTTTGTTTATATAAAAAAAAGAAGAGCCCACACCCCCCTCCTTCCCTCCAGACCCCAAGATTTTGTGATAAACACCTTGTTCTCTGTACACCTACAATTTCCTTCAGTACTGGGTGAAACACTAGAAATACAGAATCGAGAGCAGGTTTGGGCTGTGGGGAATAGGCTGGGTAGTCTGATATGTGTGAATGGTGGTAGTTGTGTGGAAATTAGCAATTTGTACAAATTTGTTTATTGTTTGTTTCTATTTAATACAGACCACAATTATTTGGGATGCCCACACTGGCGAAGCCAAACAGCAGTTTCCTTTCCATTCTGGTAAGTCTTGATTTGGATCAGTCAGGATTGTCACCTGAAAAGACTGAAAAAGTGTTATTTATTAAAGAAAAAAATCTGAAGTTTATGGAGCTTATTTACACCATTTAAACATCTTACAGGCAGTCTTTGGATTCTGACTCCTGTATTTGTAGCCTTAGGAATTTTAAGAATGCAGACAAAGATAGACTTGTTCTGATTTTTATAACTGTATAACTCACCATTTTATTACAGTTCTATGAAAGTCATGAGAGATAATCCAAAAATCACTGACTGGGAGTAATGCAGTAGCAGACAAATTGAGTGGGTGTGCCACACAGGAGTGGTGTTCATCAGCTGAGGGCTGGGTGTCATCCTCCTGCTGCAGTAATCCCAGCTCCTGTCCCTCTGTCCTGCGCTGTCCCCAGTTTCTTTGGCCACCAACCAGCTGAAAGGCTGGTCCCTGGCCAGCTGGGATGAGAGTGCAGCCTCTCGGGAGGTGAGAGAAATCCCTCTGTGGGCTGCCTGCTGTGCCAGCCTGCCAGGATCAGCTGGAAAACAGAGCAGGGAGGATGAGGAACATGGTATTGAAGAGCCTTTAAGAAATGTATCTCGTTTACACTTTTTATTCCGCTCGCGCTACGTGTTTGGTGGCGTGACAACAATCAAACCCATCCATTTGTGATTTACTCCAAGCCATCTCCTGTGCTCTCCACCATAAATATCTTGGCTTGATCAAATGGAATACGTTGCCCGTGATTAAGCTTCAAGTTACCACACCTTATAATGCCGGAATTAAGAAAGGAAATCAATCACTGCCTTTCACTGGCTGCCATCTCTCAGCACGGGCTGTTAGTGGAGATGAGTTCACGCACAACGGTGTGTTAAGTTGTGGCAACCCGTTCCCTGTGCTGACTCCTGAGGTTTATTTATAGGTGGCTGAACCACAGCACTGTCTTCTCTGTAACTGCATCAGATATATTCCAGGTTTTAATTACTTCTCTTAAATTTTGTTTCATTTCTTTGTGCAAGACGGGTTTTGGCTGCATTTCTCCCTGTTCGTAGCGTTTCATCATTAGAAAGGCTGTAAAATGAGTGTTTTCTTCCTGTTGGCATTTGTTCTAGGACCGTGCATGATGAAGTTGTGAATCAAACTCCTGCAGAATCTGTAACAGAGTTTTAAAATATCTTTCTTTTTCTTTTAGCACCAGCATTAGATGTTGATTGGCAGAGTAACAACACATTCGCCTCTTGCAGTACGGACATGTGTATTCATGTCTGTAAACTAGGACAAGATAGGCCCATCAAAACCTTCCAGGGGCACACAGTAAGTACTGGAAAATTGGGGGGTTGCTATGTGATATTTTTGTCAATGAGAGATTGGAGACCCAGTATGTTCACCAGTATAGAGCACTGGTGTAATGGCTGGTCTCTGGCAACAGGCAATAGATAGACATGTGCACGCAGTTGTAATTAAGGTCACATGGTAACTGTAGTTGCTGTTGTTAATTAGAACAGTTATGCACAGTGTTGCACAGCAAAAGTGATAATTGTTCTTAGAATCACAGAATGGTTAGAGTTGGAAGGGACCTTAAAGGTCATCCAGTGCCACCCCCTGCCCTGGGCAGGGACACCTCCCACCAGACCAGGTTGCTCCAAGCCCCCTCCAACCTGCCCTTGAACCCCTCCAGGGCTGGGGCAGCCACAGCTTCTCTGGGCAACCTGGGCCAGGCTCTCACCACCCTCACAGCAAAGAATTTCTTTCTAGTATCTAATCTAAATCTCCCCTCTTTCAATTTGAAACCGTTCCCCCTCATCGTATCACTACGTTCCCTGATCCAGAGTCCCTCCCCAGCTCTCCTGGAGCCCCTTCAGGTACTGGAAGGCTGCTATAAGGTCACCCCCAGAGCCTTCTCTTCTTCAGGCTGAATAACCCCATCTCTCTCAGCCTGTCCTCACAGCAGAGGTGCTCCAGCCCTCTGATCATTTTCCTGGCCCTCCTCTGGACCCGTTTCAACAGGTCCATGTCCTTCTTGTGCTGAGGACTCCAAATCTGGACACATCACTCCAGGTGGGGTCTCACCAGCGCAGAGCAGAGGGGTAGAATCACCTCCCTCACCCTGCTGGCTCATGTGGAGCTTCTCACCTACAAGCACTCCCAAGTCCTTCTCCTCAGAGCTGCTCTCCAGCCATTCTCCACCCAACCTGTAGTTGTACATCTTCTTTAGAAGAAGAAAGATGGTAACTTTAGGACTTTCCTACGCACAGCCTACGTTGTGCAAGAGCAGACCCAGGAAAACGGGGTGAACAGGTAGCAAAAAGCTGTTGTTATTGAAGGCAAAGCTAGGAATGAAAATGAAATGTTAAAACACTGACAATTACACAAATACTCATAACATCCGTCCAACTTTATCTTTTGTAAGCTGTCAGTTGTAATGGAAGTGAAGACTCCAACTTTATTCTCCCTGTTCAATTTTAGAATGAAGTAAATGCAATCAAATGGGATCCAACTGGTAACCTTCTGGCGTCCTGCTCCGACGACATGACTCTAAAGGTAACTGGGAGCTCTGGGACTGGCTCTTGGCCGTGCAGGGCTCTGGAGGACACACCATCACTGGTGGATTGCCTGAGCTATGGCTGTATTTCCCCTGGTGTCTAATATTGGTTCTTTTTCAATGTAACAAGATCAGGCAATCCTAGCAAGTCCTTGTTAATCAGAGCCAAGCTTTGGTCCAGGGAGCTCGTTAGAGGCTGCCACTCTGCGACTCAGAGCGTGATTTATTAGGTGCTTTTCACTGTTTACAGAATTGGGTCATTCAGCATTAAGCTGTCACACTCGATGGTTGCTTTTGGTTAAACAGAAGAGTTGGAGTGCTGCATGTTGTGTAACACAGAATCACAGAATCTTCTAGGTTGGAAGGGACCTTAAAGATCATCTTGTCCAACCGTCAACCTAACTGACAAAAATAGACACCCGCACAACAAACAAGGAGCATCATCACTAAACCAGACCTCCCAGCACTACATCAACCCGTCTTTTGAACGCCTCCAGGGATGGGGCCTCCACCACCTCCCTGGGCAGCCCATTCCAATGCCTGAGAACCCTTTCAGTGAAAAAATTTTTCCTAATATCCAGCCTGACCCTCCCCTGGTGTAACTTGAGGCCATTTCCTCTTGTCCTGTCGCCTGTGACTTGAGAAAAGAGACCGACCCCCATCTCTCTACACCCTCCTTTCAGGGAGTTGGAGAGAGCAATAAGGTCTCCCCTCAGCCTCCTCTTCTCCAGGCTGAATCACGTGCAAGAATGGGTGACCACCTCCCTTCCTGGTTTCCTTCTGTTTTCCCCCTCTTTCTAGTTAAAATCTTTGGTGTATTGTTTCTTAAGAGACTCTGTTCACTCCTTGGTTTTGCCAGTCGTTCTGCAGTTCTCAGTCACACCTGCACTTTTCCTCCAAATAATTCATAGCAACCTACTTTGTCATAGGACTGGGGAAACTTGTCAATGCAGAGGATGCTGTAATTTATACATGTGACTTCAAGGTGCACTAGGCACCCATCCAAAGATACCACAAGTAGCCCTTGGGCCAGTTACTTCCATCTTGCTCATTGTAGTTTGATCAGAGACCAGGAATGGCTTCGTGAGTAGCCCAATGTCCCCTCCTGTGCTGGCACAGTCCAGTGCTTGCAGTGGAAATCACTTCATCTAAATATAAATGTTTAAGGATTAATCATAGAATGGTTCAGGTTGGAAGGGACCTTAAAGATCATCAAGTTCCAACCCCCTGCCCTGGGCAGGGACACCTCCCACCAGACCAGGTTGCTCCAAGCCCCCTCCAACCTGCCCTTGAACCCCTCCAGGGATGGGGCAGCCACAGCTTCTCTGGGCAACCTGGGCCAGTGTCTCCCTCATTTCAAACCATTATCCCTCATCCTATCACTACCCTCCCTGACAGAGAGGGGTCCTCCAGTCCAAACCTGGGTGTCCAGGCAGCTTTAGTCAACACAGTGTCCACTGCCATTGAAGAGCAATTCAGCCTTTCCAAAGTTAAGTGGCTAAGTCAATTGATGAGTAAAACCTTGAGAACATCAAGTTGTTCTCCCTTGGCAATGGATGGAGTCAAAATAGCCCAAAACAGCCAATTTAAGTCCAAAATAGCCAGTTTAAGCTGGGTATTTAAAACTGAGGCAGCTGAAACCCAGGTAGGATGAATTTGCAATCTAGAGCTCAAGCTGTTGCTGCTGCCTCTGGGTGAGTGGAGAGGTGACACCTGAGAACTTCGTGGGCTCAGGCAGATAACCTCTTGGTTGCTGTTTTGACTTCGGCCCTGCCTGGAAAGAATGTTATGATTTTGTCCTGGATTAACTGGGAGACTGATTGCTTGTAGATAAGTCTACTAAACACTTGTAGATCCCTTACTTCTCAATGGCAGTAGGAGTCAATGTCAAATTTTGAAGTGTGTGGAAGGCGCCTACTCATCTCTTTCTTTCTTTACTTATTTTTCTCTCTTTTGATGCCACCTGATAATTCTCTAGGGCTAATACAGACTCTTTTCCATCTATCCTAGTTTGAGAAGAGGAGCTAGATTTCAATCCCATTAATTTAAGCTGGAAATACGATTTTAATTCTGTCTGCTTATTGAAAATAGACTTCCCCTTCAGTGAGGCACCAGTTCCGAAAAGCATCCTTCATTTCAACATACACCTCGATTGCATCTTAAATGCAGTTGGGCTTAAACATGCTCCTGTTGCCTTTTTCTAATAAAAGAGGAGCTAAAAGCACTGCTAAAACAAGTATCATTAAAAAAAAGCATTCAGGTGATTAACTACTGTATCGAGTTTCACATTTAGGAAAAGGTACAAAAGCCTTCTCTCCTGTGTGCAATGCAAACTCGGGATAGAATAAAGTTATTTTGTTGGCTGAAGGTTATTGTGCAGGAGTTGGAGTCCTGAGGAACCCCTCTGTTGTCTGATGCACTGAGCAAGCACTTGGCCACACAAACCCTGAAGCTCCAGGAAAATGCCATGTTGCTTTTTTGCTGTTGGGCATCGATGGCGCTGCAAGAAAACAGAAAATGTCTAAATTTCTCTTCTCTCCCTTTATTTCACTCAATCTGCCTGGCAAGAAGTTAATTTAAAAATAGGACTGTGATACTTTGTCAACTCAGAGGTGAACATACACATATTGCTCTTCTCATTTTAGCATCTGTTGTCATCCCTGCGCTGTTCAAGGGGCTTGTAATTAGCACATGCAGCTTGATTTCTGTAGATGGTACCTTTATTACTCATTAACCCCGTCAGGTACTTATAACTCAGAGAAGGGAGGGTACTGGAATAATACTTGTAATAATTACTCTAGAAACTTAGCAAATCGTAGCAAATATTTTGAGTGGCCTAAAAGGTAGCAGTCGGACTGCAAATAATAAAGAAGAAAGATGTAAAATGTATTTTAGTGCAATATTGTGCTCAATGTCTTTGCTTTTTGTTCCTTTTTTGTCGTAGATCTGGAGTATGAAACAAGACAGTTGTGTCCATGATTTACAAGCACACAACAAAGAAATTTATACTATCAAATGGAGTCCTACAGGACCAGGAACAAATAATCCAAATGCCAATCTTATGTTAGCAAGGTACTATTTAATCCTGGTTTTAAATTCCTCTTAAGCTTTATTTTTATTTCATTTTTTATGTGTGTAGGTTCGCAGACTGTTTTGAAGCGCGTAGGATACTTTGTCGTGTTCTGTTTATATTAGAAAGAAAAAAGGTGCCAAATTGAGATGTAATTAATCTGTGGGTTTTTTTCCCCTTGGCAGTGCATCCTTTGATTCTACTGTTAGGTTATGGGATGTAGACAGAGGAATTTGTATTCACACTCTGACGAAGCATCAAGAACCTGTGTACAGTGTAGCTTTCAGTCCTGACGGCAGGTACCTGGCCAGCGGCTCCTTTGATAAATGTGTGCACATCTGGAACACACAGGTACGGCTCCTCCCTCCCTTCACCAGTTTGGGGTTTGGTCCTTTCCATCAGGATCCTTCCAGCCTTTGTTTCTCCATCATGTTTGGGGCCACCAAGGGCTTTGCCCTTCCTAACGTGCTGGTTCGCTTCCTCTTTGTTCTAAGGCTCCTTCTCTTAATGGATGTACATTTATTTTCTCTCTTTAAGGGTTTGATCTATGGCAAACTAATAGTTGTCTTTACATTGTCTTGACTTAGCAAAAAAACCCCAAACTACCACCAAAACAACCAAAAAACCACCAACAAAACATATTCAACAAAGTGTCTCTAATAGCAAGTTGCATCCAAAAATTGTCCTCGTCAACTCTTAAATTTTAAACTCCTGATAAAACAGGTTTGCTGTGAAAAAGGGTGACTGGATGTAGACATACAACTCTGATATTCATTGAATATCAGCTATTTCATTGAATTTCCCTGAAAAACAAGAATATGTGAAGTGAGAGAAGACGATAATGACAAAATGTTTCTACATTATTTTCTAAGAAACGACGCTATTACTTGTTTTCTATTTCTGGCAAAAAAAGGGCTGGTTGCGAATGAAAATCTAAAGACCTTGTTGGGCAAGATTTAATCTCTGGCTACTGAGAATTGGATATTAATTTCTGAAAGGCTCATTTTAGTAATTGGAAGTGATCGTGTCCATCCCAGGTTTTGCCTGTCAAACACAAGAGGTGGAGGCAATATTTGGGTTTGTCAAGTGCTGAGATTGTCCATGAGTCTCGTCTGGACCATTTCTGAGAGTTCCAGCTTTTAAAAGCAGTGGGGAAGTTTTAAACTTTGTCCCAATTTTACTCATCTGCGTGGATTTTGTTATATTAATTACCTGTTTTGTCCCTTTTCAGACAGGTGCCCTAGTTCACAGTTACCGGGGAACAGGAGGGATTTTTGAGGTTTGCTGGAATGCAGCAGGAGACAAAGTTGGAGCAAGTGCTTCAGATGGTTCAGTAAGTGCAGCCTGACGGGGCTGATGTTCTAACAAGTATCTTGTGCAAATCTTTTGACTAACAATGAGACAAAATTTCCTTCTTAGCTGAAATTTAATACAGCCACATCACGTGTGGATTTTCACATATAAAGGTGTTTCGTTGAAAAGAGAATGTCTTTATTCCAGCTTAACGCGTTACTGTTCTAAACCCTCCAAATATCTCAGAAGGTGAAGATGCATCTAATTTAACTTTTCTGTCCCCACTGGGGCTTTCCAGGGAAATGAGTTCGTTGTGGCTGGTCATAGAATAGAATAATAGAATTTTCCAGGTTGAAAGGGACCTTTAAGATCGAGTCCAACCATCAACTGAACTCTGATAAAAGCCACCACTAACCCATGTCACTGAGCACCAGGTCAACCCGGCTTTTGAACACCTCCAGGGATGGTGCCTCAACCCCTTCCCTGGGCAGCCCATTCCAAGGCTTCAGAACCCTTTCTGTGAAAAAATGTTTCCTGCTATTCAATCTGAACCTCCCCTGGTGCAACTTGAGGCCATTTCCTCCTGTCCTATCACCTGTGAGGTGGGAGAAGAGACCCACCCCGACCTCTCTACAAGGTCTTTTCATTGTAGCCTGGAAACAAGTTAATTTTTGCCTCTTTACCCTTTTCCAGTGAAAACACTCAGTGTGGGTGATATTATCTTAATGCCTGATAGGAATGAAATCTCTTCTGCATCATATTCAACAGCAAAGCAAGGTCCAAATTTCTGAATGCTCATAACTAAAAAGTTCCTAAAAATGACAGGAGCTGTATGTAAATACCAGTCTGCTTATGGGGCTTAGAAGAAGTAGGGAATAAAATGTACACCCTCTGGCATCTCGTAGTTTAGTGTCACCTCCTGCTCTTCAGACATCGTCCCACGGTAAAATACTAACGTGCAGTTCTTCATAATGAGTACAATTGTTGGATTTTTTTTTTGCTTGCACCTCTTTTGCCATGGTTTTAAATGAAAGGAGAAGAGAGCCTAAAGGAAAAGGGAAAATTAGCATAAAATGGGAGTGAGGAAGGAATTTTCCTGTCCTGCAGCTCCAGGTGGGCGGGTGAGATCGCTCGGGTAGAGTTCGGAACAGAAAATAGGAAGTTCTGAATTTTAAGTAGACTTAAACTCTAGAGAATTCATTTTCATTGGTCTTTCGTATCATTTTAGTTTTGTAAGTGTAGACAAGGTCATAAACGGTACCAAAGCTGAAGGCACATCCTGAGTAGAAGCGATCCTGCCACCCCAGAGGAGCTTTTTACATCCGTACTGCCTAACCTTAACAGTCCTTAGCTAATTTGACCCAAGAGGCTGATTGTGCTGGAAACAGATTAATTTCCATTTAGTTTTTTGCTCTTTTAAAAATGTTGGGTTCTGTATCGTTTGCTGGCGAAAGCCTTCCTCATCCCCTCAGTTTTAAATATAATAATAATAACTACTAAGCAAATAGAGGCAGAGTTGAGCTGTTTGATGACTAAAAGCGTAACTTTTACTAGATTTATAGTTTATTTCACTAGATTTTACTACATTTCCCACCCCTCAGTCTGATGTTAAGAGATCCAAGGTGACTTTTGTACGATCTCTGCTGTAGGTTTTGCCCAGATATTTCACAGAGAGTTGTATAAACGTGGAATATTGGTGCGATGTTGCAATTTCTCTCCTTTTTTTTTGTTGTTTTTTACAGGTTTGTGTATTAGACCTCCGGAAATAGCGCTACTAGTTGGAAGCCATGGACCGACTATGAATGTGTACATAGCCAAAATGACTGTCCCTGACCCATGTACTGCTATAGTCCCAATTGAACCATGGCCAGTCCACTACAGCCAAACGTAAAAGAAATATATACATATACTGTATATAAAAAAAAAAACAAAAAAAAAAAAAAAAAAAAAGGGGGAAAAAAAAAAAAAAAAAAAAAAAAAAAAAAAGGGAAAAAAAAAAAAAAAAAAAAAAAAAAGAATTTACACCCTGAAGAGGATGACAGAGTTTTGTCACAGCTTGTGAATCCTGTTCACCAAGTGCTGGAATCTGCTGTGCCCCAAAATAACATTTAAAGGTTTTTTGGATATGAAAAACAGAAGAGAGAGAGAGAGAGAAATAAACCGTATACGAGAGCAGACCCATATACATACCAAATTCAGAAGATCCTAATGGCAGCCTTCATTACCCCTTCCTCCCTTGAAATCCACGACCGCAGTGGATTTGGGGGGTATTTTTTTGTTTTCCTTCTCGGTAGTTGAGCAGTTTGTGTGTACAGAGAAAATGGACTTACAGAAATCTGCAGCAGTAGTTTTGTTTTGTTTTTTTCTTTGCTTTTAAACATTGGGTTTTCTGTTTTGTTTTGGTTGAGTTTACGGATGCATGAAGTAAGGGAGTGAATTAGTTTCTTGTTTATATTTTTTTTTCTTTTTTTTTTTCACCTTGGAAAAAAAAAAAAAAA